CTTATATATTTTTACATTTTAAACTACAACTAGTCAATGAGTAAAATTTTTTAAAATAATACGTTTAGTAAGTCAAGTACTTAAAGAATTTATAATTTTCTCGAGATTCAATAGGTGGCAGAAAAAATAGTCTAAAACTCAGCTGCTTGCCTTAGATAACCCAAATCCATGTCCAATCTCATAGGCCTGTCTTTTGACTTGGGTGACCCAATTCGTGGGATTGGACAAAAGAAATACTAACTCGGGACTCATGAAAGAGGGTCAAAAATCAAAATAGAATTTAGCTATGGCTCGGGACTAAAAATAAAATTAACTAGAGGAATTTTCACAGTAGAAACTATCAGTTTTTACTGTCAGTAGAAATTATTGTTTTAGTTGTTGATTAATCATGGGTTATCTTCAATCACATTTTAATTTCTCAGTTTTAAAACGTTTCACAGTTGATCTTTGAGGTTTTATTCTGTTCAGTTTTAATCATTTTTTAACTAGTTGTTAAATATTTAATGAACTTTGTGTAAATTAAGGACTAAAATTGAAAACACTTAAAATTTAAGGACTATATGTGGAAATTCTTTTGTTTTTTATATATTTTTTTTTGTTTCTAAACTTTAAATGTTTTCAATTTTTCTTAATATTTACAAATTCCATTAAATATTTAACACCTAGCTAACAAAATGACTGGAATTGAAACAAAGTAAAATTTCAAAGACTAATCATAGGATGTTTTAAAAGTCAGGAACCAAAATGAGATTGAGGTAAATCTCAGAGACTATTTATGAAATTAACTCTTAGGCTTTTAACCGGTTGATCTATAATTAAAACATTTCCATATTGTCCCTTATAAATTGTTAGGGTTAATCCCACTAATGATCCTTAAGGTTTATCTCCAATTTCACTTTGGTCTCTGACTTTTAAAAAGTCCCGTATTGGGTCCCTGATGTAACAACCTTGCTACGTGGCCGTTACTTAACTAAAATTGTGCTCTGATACCAACTGTGACGATCCTGTTGAGTGGCCGTCACTTTAATTAACTTTAACATATAATTTTTAAAACTCCCCAAATTTTGAGGGACATTTTAAAAAAAAAATGCTGTAGCATTTTTATTTTTTTTAAATGCTATATAAAATGTTGTAGCATTTTGTTATAACTTAAATAAAATGCTATAATGAATGCTGTAACATTCTAAAACATAATGTTATAGCGAATGCTGTAGCATTCCGGGCATAAGTTCATTTCTCTTAAAAAAACTATATCATTCATTTTTTTATATAGAATGATGTATCATTCTTTAAAAATTTCTGTAATGACATAAATTCTGGTTTCCCACTTTTGAACATAGGAAAGTGTTTATACTTCAAAATTAATTCCTTTTCTAAAACATAAATTTACACTTAGTTATATTTTTGCTTCTCAAAATCATGCTAGCTTACACAAACTTAACAATCATACTATAAACTTTCAAAACACAAGTTCATAGACATATTCAACAAAATCTTTTTAAAACTTTAAACTGTTGCGGAAATAATTAGGTGCGGTATCCATTCTCCAACCTCTACTCCGCTCATCCGCTGCCTCACCATTAGTCCATCAAGCATTATGTGCGGGTTGCTTACCTATAGTATAAATACTCTGAAATGAGCTTTCACTCAGCAAGTAGGAACTATTACTCACAAAATAACTGAAAGTTCACATGAATGATATGCATGAACTAATTATGCAGAATTATGATTTCTTATCATAGATTTATTATCTGGTCTTATCTTTCTTACTGATGGGCCCGAGTGCTCGTACCATTGCGCGCGATATACGGAATGTGAGGGTTCATAAAGCCCCCATTGACTCCGTAATTAAAACTGAACTGAATGCCTCACTTGGGCCAAAGTACCTCTCATTTAGGAGGCTCTGAATTACCTATCAATTAGGAGGTTCTGAAAACTGGATTATCTCTCAATTAAAAGGTTCGTAAACTAGATTACCTCACAATTAAGAGGTTCTGAAACTGGATTACCTCTCAATTAGGAGGTTCTGAAACTGGATTACCTCTCAACTAGGAGGTCGGTACGCACTCAACTGAGATTATTCTTATAAGTTCTTCTCAACTTATTTAGGGTGTATGCAGTATGGCATAGCATAGCATACTATAACATGAAATGTACGCAAACACATATAATTCATGTGTACTGTTTATTTTAAAATCTATTTATACGGTAGGTGAGATTCCTACTTACATGTTTTAAGGAGTGGAATCCTCTATTTGCCACACTGTATGTTCTCTTTCTTGCTTATTTCTGAGAATAAACACTCACTAAGAGTGTGAGATTAACTATCACTTGCTATTCTATTTTAGCAAGCTTATAAGAAAATCTGATTTCTCTACTTCTGGCTTTCTTTCTCTTTCCTACCTTAGAGGATTGAAAACCTTGTTTCAAACTTAAAGATTAGGTTTATTGAATCCTCATAACCTTATTTTTCCATTAAACAAGGTCCAAACTCAAAATACTTTGTTGAGACTATACTTTGAGTTCTTCAACGAACACCTCCGTTCAACACCAAAACTGTTTTAATAGTTATGCAGTGTTTTCTAAGAAAATAGTTTAAAGTTTCTACCTAAAACTAAAACCAAATTTAGCCTCAAATTTTAGAACTAAAACTAGGTTTAACTTCAAATTCTCAAACTAAATTTCAGCGGAGTTTTGCTTGATTTTATGTGTTTCCCGAGCTATCCTTAGCTCGTTTTATTCGTTACTTCATATTCTAATCATAACTAACAATCTTTCTCATACAATTTAATCAACTTAGGAACTATACGCTAGGGTTCCAGCCAATTTCTCACAAGGATTTTCATATCTAAAAGTTGCTAGAAACATAATCTAACAACCTAAAATTCATCCTTTAATCATTAAGCTTTCAATTCCTTCATCAATTGAAACTCAATCATCAACTTAGAAAACTTTTTCCATACTCTCTACCACATTCAAAATATTCGGCCAAGGTAAGAAAAATGAGAGAAAAACTGAAATCTCACCTTGGAAGAATGAAAAACAAACTCTGGAATCACCAATCCTCTATAGTTCGATCGATTCCCGCTTAAAACTTTTTTTTTCACTTTTGGTAATTTTTTTTTTCTTCTCTCTCTTGGATGAATGCCCAGTGTTCTTGATATGAAAAAAGAGGGTGTTTAATTATGTTTCTTACACTTAAACATGTTGGAGAAGAAATGAGGGGTCTAAGTGCAATTTCCTAACTTTTGGGGTCCTTTTTGCAAAAATCTTCCAAAAATATCTTTTCTTGGCTTCTTATACAAGCTTGGCCTGCCACCTCTCTAAACATATGGCATGATCTCAGTCCTCCATCCAAAAAATCACTTTTAATCTCAATCATTGATTATTTAATAATGATCCTATTTTGGTTCAGCTTAATTTCCTGTCAAGTGTGTGTTTTATCTCTGTTTCTCATACAGTAGGTCAACTTAGTCAACTTTGATCATTCTTGACTAACTTTTTGAGAGTGACATTTTGGTGAACTTTTGGATAACAAATTTTGACTCGGTCCACTTAAATCAGTTGAAACCCCAATTTTCTTAGTTCGACCTTCTGGACCCATTTTTTGTTCGTTTTTCGTTATGATTATTTCTAAAACCCTAGAATTAATGTTTTTCAATTTTTGTCACTTCTTAACCTTAAGATTCATGTGTTGGCCCACTTGTGGGCTTAACACAACATTCTACACATCCTTTTTTATTGTAATTTGAAAGTCGGTAACAGTATCTTACCTAACTTAAATTTCTAATTGCTTACATGATGTCATCTTACTTACATAAGCAAGGTTTAGTGAACACTTGGTAATCACCCATTGATGTTCTATTCTTATAGCTATTCTTATTACTTCATACTAACTTTTGAGAATTTACCTAGTTGACAGGAAATTTTAGTTTATGACTTTGTCAACTTCTGAACTCATATTGCATCTGAATTTCTTTACTGATACACTACCACTTTAATTCCCTCTTATCTGTTTGGAAATTAAGGGTTTTCTCTTTAAATGTCAGAGCGCTTCTCTATACGCTGCTAACATTATACTGCACTAAAAGATTCCTGATATTAGGATTCTCAAACTTTATATGCACGGAGAATTCTTCCGCCTTAATTACGGTAAGAATTTATCAACTAAATTTACTTGTTCTTAAAATATGAACTCATCGTAAAACTTGCTACAGAATTTAGGAATACTGATATTAATTTTGTAAATATTTCAATCATAAAATATGATAGTATATTACTGAGAAAAGTCATTGACTTAAATAAATAAATTTACATTATTTAATTCTAGGATTTTTTCGGTCATTACACCCGAAGTTTTACTCTCTTACAGTTTCAGTCATTATGTTAGCTAAGTGTTAAATATTTGACATAATTTGTGTAAATTAAGGAGCAAAGTTGAAAATATCTAAAATTTAGAGACTATTCATGGAAATCAACTTTCGTTTTTTGGTATTATTTTAGCCCCCTAAACTTTAAAATTTTCAATTTTGGTTCATTTCCACAGATTTTGTAAAAAATTTAACACCAAGATGATAAAAGGACTGAAATTGAAATAAAGTAGAACCTTATAGACTAATTATGAAACATTTTAAAAGTCATGGTTCAAAATGAAACTGAGGATAAATCTTAGAAGCCATTTATAAGATTAACCCAGATTTTTAAGGTGAACTCTAGATCAAACTGTCAACGGTCCGTTTAATTTATGAATTCAAATCAATGATTCTTAATTTCAAGATTTAAATTTTAAATTTTTTATAAAAAAAAACATTATAATATAATAGAATTAAAACTATATTTTAAACGCATAGTTTTAAGTAATTGACCCATCGTCATAAACACGAAGTCCTGCTCAGAAGCACAAAGGCAGTTGCTACTGCAGTTGACTCAAAAAAAAGTAACAATAATAAAAATAAAGTCAAGTCTTTCTCCAGTCGTTATGTAAGGTGACTTTTGTCCAGTCAGAAGTCTCCATCGTCATAAACACGAAGTCCTGCTCATAAGCACAAAGGCAGTTTCTACTGCAGTTGACTCCAACAAAAAAAAAAAAAATGAAGTCAAGTCTTGCTCCGTCATCCACTCCAACCAACCATGGGCTAACCACATGATTGAAAAAAATGGTCCCTTTTCAGCTTCAGTGCCAACAGACGCAAAACAAAACTTCCAAACTAATTTCCAATCTCAACTCGCCGGATCCGACCTTGTAATTTCCGCCGGCAAAAATGTCCGACGCATTTGCACCGACAAACGTCGAACCTCCGGAACCGAGTTCAGCTCCGGAACCGATTCCAGATACGTCGCTCCCTCCGTCCAGCACGACGCAGACCGGCATACCTCTGACGCCGCTACCGACAGCTCCGGAACCGTTTGAGTCGCCGCCGCCACCGCCACCGCCACCGCAGTCACCGCCATCACAGCCTCCGGAACCGATTACAGCTACGTCGCCCGCTCCGTCCAGCACGACGCAGACCGGCATACCACCGACGCCGCTACCGACAGCTCCGGAACCGTTTGAGTCTCCACCGCCGTCGCCGCCGCTGCTGCCGTCGCCGCCGCCGTCGCCGGTGGGGATGATAGTGGGGATTGGGATAGGAGGGATGTGCATGTTGGTCGCGGTGGGAGTTTTCTTCATTTTTTACAGAAAGTGGAAGAGGAAGAAGATGAGAGAGCAAGGATTCGAGAATAATTACAGTTCTCAAGGAGGTCCTCCATTACAGGACCCCAAGACCAAGAGTGAGCCGCTATTTTTTGTCAACCTGAATTCTAATTGTTCGGCTAGTAACTGTTAATTTTATATTATTTTGTTTTTATTTTGCAACCAGAGTTAGGGGGCTTTTGCCATTTAGTGGTCTAAAATTGAACATTTACATTTGGCTTTAATTTCTCATTTCTCGAAGATATAAGAACAGGAGAAAATTGTGTTATTGATAAGAACTATTTATAGAGCGTTTGGTTGGTGGATTCGTACCGTAATTCAAATTATAGTTTATGATTTGTTATAATATTTTTTCTTACGAAAAACATACGTAATTTAAAAATAATTCTGAATCATAATTCTGAATTTATGAATTAAACGTAACTGTTTTTGCCTCTCTTTCCTCTTAAATTTTTGTTTTGTATTTTGGGGGTTTGATTGTGTCTTTTATAGATGTCCCCATTACAAATTAGCAAGCCCTTTTTTTCTTCATATTGTTTATTTTTTGTTATATAGTGGGTTGAACTTTGACTGAAGCAGCTTGAGAGGGTGCCTTGGATGAAATTTTTTCAAATGCGGCTATAATCTCCATAGAACACTGTTTATTTTATTCATTTATTTTAACAAGAAAGAATGAATTGTTAAGGATATAGGATGGCCTCATATTATATATTCTAAAACTTTTGAAACATACTTAACTCTTTAGTTACAAGAGCTCTTTGGATTATTTTGGAGTTGATGCAAATTTGAGATTTTGCTTTAGTTTTCAAAATGCTCTTTGATGTATGGAAGTGTCTTTGTTTTCCGTAAGAGGTAAGAGATAAGCTTTGTTGACGGTGAATTTTCGTCAACAAAAATAGACCGGTTTACCTCTAGGTTTCCCGTTGGATTACTGGCTTAAATATAGGTTATATGTAGGAGTTTGATGTTTTCTAGAGGGATGAGCAATTTGGGAGAATAATGCTTTAAAGTAAAAGAACACAAGAAATTTTATAGTGGTTCACTCTATAAAATCAGAGTTACGTCCACTGTAGTTGTATATTTCTTTTAGAGTGATTACAATGTACATCAATTGCTCTCTTGCTCTTTTTTCTCTCTCTAAATATCAACCTCCCTTCCGTATGAGGTTTCTCTCCTTTTATAACCAGGCTTCCTTCGTCGGAGGGGTTTACTCCTGTAGGCTAAAAAAGCACTCAAGTAGTCTGCCCTTCTAGGCCCAGCCCGTAGCCCACTAATCACTTTTTGCGCACTGTTCACTAAGCCAATTAGTCTCCCATTACGGCTCTGTGCATAGCTGTAACCCTTTCCTGTCCCCCGTAGGGGCGGTTTAAGGGTTTGCATTTAATGCCTGTACTGCAGACATCTCCCATTTCCGTACGCAACTGGCGACGTCAGGCTTTCCCCTCTTCAGGTATTCCTCTCGCCGTCTCTGTTTGCTCAGCCTAGTTTTCTTCCTTGGCAATTGCTTTCTTCCTGAAGGATTCATGCCGTAAGGTTGACGGTACGAACTGTCGTCATCATGAGGAGTCGGCGTCGAAGGTTGAGCTTCCCTTGCAGTAGAAGGAAAGGGAATCCCGCCCCGTCGAGGGTTGTTGCCTCTTGAGGGAAAGCGAGGCCACGTGTCGCACTGTTATTTGCCCACGCGTCATCCACATTTTCCCACACAACAGCTGCCCCCCAGGTCGAGGGTTTCTTTCAGACAGCCTCGAACTTAGGTTCAGTCGTACCTTTATGCTTTGGGTGTGGGAAACTGACCCCGAGCCTTGATCTATAATGATGGTCTGGATGCTTTTTAATTTCTTCGAGGAGCGCAACCGTCGCGTCGGTCGCTTCCCCATGCTGACGTAAGGCTTTATTTTGAAAAGACGAATATAAGCCCTTGGATCGCATCCCTTCATCTTCTCGCCTTTGCTTTGCTGTCGTTCGATCTGGGAAAATTACCCCTTCCGTTGGATTTCCACAAGCCTTATCTGACGGTCAGGGGTCGAGGGCCTGTTTTTCTTTAAAAATTCTTCAAACTGAAGCCATTCTCTCCAAAAAATTCCTTAGAACCGTTGTTACTCTGCCTGAATTTCTCCCTGCGAATCTCCGACTTGTGCTCCCTGCTTCCTGCTTCCTGCTTCCTTTGGTGCATCGTGAAGCTACTTGGTTTCAAAACTCCGTCCAGACTCCAACTCATCAGTAAGCTTTAATCGTTGCTTATTTGCGTTGCTGGATGATTTTACTGGCTTTCCCAGTGAATCATAGGTGTTGATATGCGAAATGTAGATGACAGTAACTTACTATGCTTTATTCGACCCACGTAGGGTAGTTTTTCCTGCTTTCTAGTTGAATGCGAGTCTGGCTTATGGGTTCTGATGAACCTTGGTTGTCATGAGCATTTGTCGTCGCCATTTTCATATGAATGGTTGACGTTATGTTGAGGTGTTTCAGCAGTCGTTGTCTAGAATGGTCGTCACTTAGAATGACCGCCGTTTTTTTCCTTCCTTTCGACTTAGGATTTTGACGTAGCTTATTGTCCTTTTTATTACCAGAACAATGGCCCCAAAAAACACCCGTCGAGAGGAACCGTCTATTGTACGACCAGACTCCCCTTCTGTGGCAGAGATTTCATGGTCATCTTCCTCGTTAGACTGCGACTCACTATTGCGGGAAGTTGAGGAACATATGGCCGGCCCAAGCGACGACTGTAGCGATACTTATGACAGCGTCTGCCGAATGATCGACGAAGACGTCGATAGGAGGCCTTTCACATGTGGCAGTGTATGTGGGGTCACCGCTTCTCTGGTAGATGTCCCGTTGGCTGCTACAAGTGGAGACCCAGACAGGCCGTTCTTTATGGCCAATATTGTGGCGTCGAGAGTCCGAAACAAAGATATCGTCCGGGCTGTTAAAGAAGGCTGCATTGATGGGAGATGGTTTGAATACCTTCTTCCGGATATGCATTTTAGGACCAGCATGCCTCCGACCGGATACCTCCCTGTTTACACTAGGACTGTCACGGAGGGGATGACCCTACCGGTCCACCCTTTTGTAAAGGACTATTGTCATTTCTATGTCATCTCCCTTGCTCAGCTAGCGCTAAATTTTTGGTATTGCTTCGCCGGTGCCTGGATTTTGTGGAGCCAGCGGTTTGATACATATCTGCCCCTGGACGAGTTTAAGTTTATGTACAGGTTATGCCATGTCGCCAAGTGCGAAGGCTGGTATTTTTTGAGCGGGCATGGGAGATCCCAGCCCAGGTTTGGCAAACTGACACTGGATATACCCTCGTCGTCGCATAGGTGGAAACCCATGTTTTTTATGATACGAGGGCTTTTCAACTTCCATCCCGACGATCGCTTGCCCCGCCGAAGGAAGGTGCAAGCGTCGTTTGGGAATATGGGTGAGTTTTAACTCTCTTCTCCCCATATTTCCCTTCTTCCTCTTTTTAACGCAGACAGTTCTTCTATTCGCAGTTAGCCACGATCGGCCGAAGCTTATTGGAAATAGGTTGGCGAGGGTTGAGCAGGCCTTTTCGTATACGTCGAGCGAACGCCACATTGACACCCTCTTGACTGAGGCCAACCTTTGACATACTGGGTTGATTCTTGATCTTCCCGACCCTACTAATCTTAACGTTGTTCGTGAGTTTTTTCACCTAAGCGACGAAGGTAAACCTTTGGCTCACCGCCTTTCTTATTCTGGCATAGTCTATCCAGATGTTGACTATATTTTTGTCTCGTCATTTGTACAGAAATGGCGTCTTTACGGATTCAACTTCCCGGTAATCAGCCGCCTCAGCCAAGCCAGCAGCCTCCGCCAAGCCAGCCTCCATCCAGGGGAAAGGAGAAGGCCAGCTCCTCTTCCCAAGCGCCGAGGAAAAAGAAAGCCATGAGGGTCCCCTTGGCGTCAGAGGAGGAGGTTCCTGCGTTGAAGAGGAGGCACAGGGAAAAGGCACTGGTGGTCGAAACTTGGACGCCGACGGTCCCAATTCCTAATGTTACTGATGCTCCTCCGGCGCCGAGGGAGCGTGTGCTTATTCCGGGGGCCAAAATCATGGACTCCAACTTCCAAGTCTAGGATATTTCTGATGCTGAGATTGGAGCTATGTTGAAACTCCCCCCCTCATTTCTCCGTCGTCTTCCAGGCTCTATACAAGTCTTTTCTTGAGCCGCACTGGATTGCCGCCGCCCAATCTTCTCTGGTTGACCGCCAGCGCAAGCAGATCTCCTTTCATATCCATGTAAGCCTCGATCGAGCTGCCTTTCTTTTTTCTTGTTGATTTCGTCCCTTGTACCCTTATTTTCTGACCTGCAATCTTTCAGGGCCTAGTCCTTGCCATTCTTAACCTTATTGATTTAGTCAAGGTTGAAGAACGTGATAAGGAGATGGACATCGTCGAGGCCAAACTTAACTCTCTCATTGACGATGCCAAGAGTACGGTTGTTGCCGAGGAGAGGGATGTGGCTGTGGCCCAGCTGAGGAGTTTGGAAGGCGAATTGGCCAAGATGTCTGACCTTCAGAAGGAGTTGACCACCTTAACTGCTGCAGTTGCGGACTTTACAAAGCGGGCAGAAATTTTTGAGAAGAAGTTAGGCGAGGCTACCGAGGCGGTGAAGAGGTGCTTCGCTAAAGGAAAAGCCGAGGGGAAGAAGGAAGCCGAAGCTGAGGCCGCAACATCATTCGATGCCAAGCGTGTGGAGATCATCGAGGAGTTCAAGGCTTCTCCGGAGCTCATCGACATTCGCACCAAGGATTTTCACTCCGCTGGTCAGCAAATTGTCGACCTGATAAAACAAGAGCACCCTGAGTGGGATTTGAGCTTCGATTATGTTGCTCCTCCTCCTCCTGCTGATGATGACAATCCTTCCCCACCTGGTGACGGTGAGAACTCGGTGGCTGGCGGTGAGACCTAATGCTTTCCTTTTTTTTTATTATGTAATGTGGGACATATTTATTTATATACATATTATTTTTTTATAATATTTAGGATTTTTACATAATTGCTTTTATTGCTTCCCTTGCCCCTTGGGGCAAGCCGTTGCCTTAGAAAACT